TGTGTGTGTGTGTGTGTGTGTGTGTGTGTGTGTGTGTGTGTGTGTGTGTGTGTGTTTCAACAGTTGGTTGTATGGCTTCCCAAGGGTGGGCAGAGGAGTGCCGCGATTGATGTCTGAGCTGGGTAAGGGCGTATTTATTATGTATTGAAGTACTGCTTTAGCAATCATGGTGCATTAATAAACAGAAGTAGGCAAAGAGTTTTCTACAGCAATAGTTCAATAAATAACTAGTTTAAAATAACGGAACAGGAGAGGAAGACGAGGACAACACACGAGGGGCTGTGACAGGCTGTTTCGTCGGAGTTTCACCGACTCGAATATATATAGTGAAACAGAGCTGCCCGGTAAACCGTAGGCAGAGAGGGAGAAGAGGAGAACAAACGAGGGGCTGTGACAAACTGTTTCGTCGGAGTTTCACCGACTCATCAGGAGGTTATATATACTCATATATATACGTATATATATATACATACATATGTATACATATATATCGTCAAATAGAACTGCCCGGTAAACCGTAGGATATATATATATTTGTGACGATATATATATATATATACATTTATATAGATAATAGGTCACATTATGTATGATTAGATTATTGTAAAACAGATAGGCAGTTCTCCGAATTCTCACACTGAGGAAGAATCCAAGATTCGGGGCAATCAGCAAGAAACGAGCTCAAAATTGGGCCTTCACTGCCCTTCAGGACATCCTTTAAAATTGGAACAATGCACAGACGATAGATTAGCATCGCCCCTTCGCAAGCATGACACGCATTAATCGAGAAATTGTCCAAATTAAAAAAAAAAGGGAAAAAAAAAGTGCTCGAAACAGTTGGAGGCGGCTACATTACGAAGTCACGTTTAATGCTGTGGTAAGAAGAACCTATTCTGAAGCCAAGCGCTCTTTTTTTTTTTGTAAAAATATATAAAGTACATGTAATTTTTTATATAACATGTACATAAATATATGTATCCCATAGAGAATTCTTCACTTCCGCTAGCTGTCTTTCCCTTCCCAGTTCTCCTCTTTATTATCTCCTTAAGTTTTGCCCATCTCGACTGGGGCCCCTACGTAGCCATTCTCGACACTGATGCTTGTGTAGTGGTGTCCATTGCCTGTTGATTGGTTGCCCAATGGCTGTCATGAGGCAGAAGGAAGAAGGAAGAAAGAAGAAAGGATAGGGACTTACTTGCTCGGTCTGAAGAGAGAGAGAGAGAGCAGCCAGATGTGGGGTGGGAGGTGATGAACGGCGGTGCGGCGATGGCGGTCGGGATCTGGATGCGCATGGACGGAGGTCCTTTCTCTTCCCCCTCCCCCTCCCCCTCTCCCTCCCTCTCTCCGTGCTTTCCCAACCCTTCGCTTTTCTTAAGAGAGAATGGACAGAGTGATAGATGCAAGGCGTTTCCCAGGAGTACACAGTGACGCATACTTGTTGTTATACTTTACGGACGAAAGTGAAAAGAGCGTAGATGGCCAATGGACAGACGGCAATGAAGGGAGACGTGGAGATGGGAGAGGGAGGTGGGAGTTTGCAGGAGAGTTCAAGTTCGTGGTTGCCACGTGGCAATGGGTGTATGCATCATTCACGGCGACGACATACGAGACAAAGGGTACGTAGATAATGTAATTCTCTGCGCTCAACCTCCCTCTCCCGAGACCTCTCCCTCTCCATCTCCCTCTCCCTGTTCCTCTCCCTGTCCCTCTCCCTCTCTCTCTCCCTCTCCCTCTTCGTGTCCGTCTTCCTCTTCGTGTCCGTCTCCCACTGGCCCGTCCTCCTTATCCCCATAGTTTCTGGATAACACCTGAAACTTGGTCTTGCACTTTTTCTGGATTATGCATATATATGCATATATATATCATATATATCGTCACAAACAGAACTGCCCGGTAAACCGTAGGCAGAGAGAGAGAAGAGGACAACAAACGAGGGTATATATATGTATATATATATATATATGTATTCCGCCTTTGCGCTCCGATTCACAGTGTGGCAATATATATGTATATATGTATAAACTGGACCCTTCTCTGGCCAACCTCCCACTCCGTCTCTCCTATCCTCTTTGCCCATATTTTTTTGGGGATAAAGTCTGAAACTTGGTCTTGTACCTTTGTCTGGATTGTATCTATCAATCCGTCTGGTTATATGCACAGTATTACAGACACACACACACACACACACACACACACACACGCACAGAGAGAGAGAGAGAGAGAGAGAGAGAGAGAGAGAGAGAGAGAGAGAGAGAGAGAGAGAGAGAGAGAGAGAGAGAGAGAGAGAGAGAGAGAGAGAGAGAGAGAGAGAGAGAGAGAGAGAGTTCTGGTGTGATGTGTGAGGTAGAGAAGAGAGGAGATGAAAAGGGAGGAATGGAGAGCACAGTGGACTGGGGAAGCATATTCAGCTTGGGTAGCAGTTCGTCAATATCTGGCGGCCATCTGGACTTAGCCAAAGTCAGCCTGTGGGAAGTTTGCGCTCCACACTGAGCATTTGGCTCTGCGCCAGTGGTGAGAACATCATACGGTGGTTGCCTTTTAAAAATATACATACATGATACATATATATATATATATATTTTTTTTAAACCGTAATATGCTTGACGGCAATCCAACCAACTGTCCTTCAGGTCTCGATCATCATCAAAAAAAAAAAAAAAAAATTCTTGATCATGGCGACTGTTTTTTTTTGTTTTTTTTGTTTTCCCGATCATCATGACTTCTTGTTTTTGATCATCATGATTGATATGTATTTTTTATTTTATTTTATTTTTCCCCTCGTTTGGGATAATCATGATTGTTATATATGTGTGTTTTGTCGTATTTGCTCACACTGCAGGGGCAGGCTACATAAAACGGGTAGTCTCAGTAAATGTATCTGGCACAGAATTGTATGCTAGGTACATTTGCGGAAGGGTTATTACATGTGTGTTTTTTGCCGGATTTGCTGACATTTCAGCGGCAGGTTAGACCAGTACTTCCAAATAAATGCAATCATATATAAAAGTTGAAAAAAAAAAAAAAAAAAGAAAGGTTTTTGGTACCAACTGGCTTAGAAATTGAGAACGCCATTCCGTTGAGTAATAAAGCTGTCAACTTTTTCCCACCAAAAAAAAAAAAAAAATAATAATAAAAAAAATAAAATAAAAAAAAAGAGAGAGCTATACCGGAATGTAGCTTGGATGGGGCGGAGGTAACTACGGCGGTGTGTCTGCCTTTGCCCCATCCAGTAATGGGTTTCCCCCCCCCCTTTTTTTTTTTTTTTTTTTTTTGGGTTTCCCCTCCTTTTTTTTTTTTTTTTTTTGGACCGGCTATGCGTCTCTGCGCCTGAAGGGCGAACTCGACTCAGTTAGCAAGAGCGTGGGCCGGCTATGGTGTC